TTCTTTCTATTGCGAGGGAGATCGCCTTTTTAGTGGCTCTGGTCAGTTATTCTTTTTCTTTTTTTTTTTTAGCCTTTTATCTACATTTGTTGGTTGATTTACTTTGAAGAGCGGACTCAATGGTACACCTGTATTGCAACATTATAATTTTTTTTCCACTTCGTGAGGGCATCAAAACATGGGAAAATTTTTGCTATGTTTTCGAGCAGTACGCTTAGAAAGTGCGTGTAACCTAATGGCAACCTAAACCAAGTGAACGTAAAGCTGTCTAATTGTATTGATTTTAATTAAATTCCTTACCTTTCTGTCCTTAATTTAAAAACGGAAAATAAATATACAACTATCTTAGGAGGTTAAGGGACTAAGCAAACATATATCCGGGATTAGCTTTTTATCATCGGATTTCAAAGACGTACTAAGCCTTTAATAGAATGTGCGCATCCTTTAATGAGCATATTTTCACGTGTCTTAGTCAAGAGACGATTTGCGGTTGCCGGCTAGACAACAGCTTGACCTCGTGCTCCTCAAATGGGTTCAATTTTTGAAGCAAGGACCAGCTTACAAAAAAGAAGAACGGGATCCTAATAAAGGGTCTCATCAGCAATAAGTGAAAATATAGAAACAAAAGAAGCAAGGCTGATTTTACAGTTTTATTTTACCAATATTTCGGAAGGCACGGCTTCCTTCTTCGGGGTCTTACATAAAATGAAGAGGTTAAGCTAAGACGTTACTATTTAAAATAAAGAATATCGTGCAGTATTAAATAGGCCCTTTAGGGATTTCAGAAATAAGAAGGAATAAATGGACAAAAAATTTAAGGAATACCGTATTTACTCGAATAGACGCCGCCCCCGAACAGACTCCGCTCTACGGTGCGGCGTTTATTTGAGGAAATAATGATTTATAATAATTATTAAAGAAAAGGCTATTTCAAGTTTAAACCAGCAATGAAAATCTATTTTATTTTAGGACAACATTTTTTAGTTCAAAGTGACTGTACTTTTTTGCTCTTGTGTTAAGTTCTCTTTCAAGACTTTTTGCAACGCGTAATTCTGCTGTTGATGCAGAGAACTTCGCTGGTACTACAAGGCCGACTTCTCTCTTTCTCTTTCCAGTGACTCGTGCACAAAGTTTGTTTTCAGCGTTCGCTTCAATAAAGTTTTCAAAAAAGTTACCAAATATAGTACGATATTTAGTGCTGAATAAAGTGTTTTTGAATAAACGCCGCCCCCAAATAGACGCCGTCCTCGAATAAACGCCGCAGATGGATCGCGAAAATGAAACAAACGGCGCGGCGTCTATTCGAGTAAATACGGTAAGTAATAACAAACGAAAAAAGGTAGGGGGTAAACTTCAAGGGGAGAGAGCTAGCGGCTGAAATCGAGCCTAGGGTACTGAGGGCCGCATTCATACGAGGAAAAATAAGACACGTCTCAAATAACAACAACAACGAGCTTTACTTGCAGGACCACACAATCACATACAGTATTGCAAAGGCTATGTCTAGAAATCAAAATTACAACACATGGCAATTACGTTACTTTGATAATAATTTGTCGCGAACATCAAAACAAGCTGAATTATATTTTGATAAGGTAATTAGAAGAGTTCATCAGTTCGTTGATCAAACCGTTTATAGGTAACTGGGTAATATTTGGAATCAGAGTCTTGACTTTATAGTGAAATTTATTCCTAATCATAGAGTATGTACATGTAGGACATTGAAAAAGAAAGTGGACTTCATCTTCTATTACATTGCATCCACAAAAAGGGCAATGCCTATTATCCTTCGTAGTTTGATCGTATCTACCTATTTCTATCATTGGTTTGTGATTCAGGCTTATTCGTAGTTTTACTAAAGCCCTTCTCCCAGCTGTTCCTGTTGTTAAGTCTAAGTAACTAGAGGAGGTATGATCGGTTTTAAAAGATCTATAAAATTCGAGTTTTTGAGAATGTTGAAGGGTGTTTTGTTAACATGAGATATATTCCTGTTTCAGGGTAGGTCGACTATAACATGGCCGTTTCTTTCACTTCACTTGTAAGTCGTCTGAGTCGTTCGCGTTTCAATGTGCCCAAAGTATAGCTTTTGAAGACTTCCCTTTTTAGTATAAACTGGTAAGTGAATTTCTCTAGAAAAATCGTCCTTGGAAACTTTGCCTAAAACGCCTTTGAACCGGCTTTACATACAGCGGTTTTATGATGAGTCCCACCTCTATATGCACCACATATTCAACAAATTAAAAGAATCCAGCGAAGAGCTGATGATGATTATGGCACTCATATAGAAAAACTGAACTTGTTATCCTTACAGGACAGACGTTTTTTTTTGTTTGATGTTTTTGTTTTTTATAAAGTTTTTTTAATGGGTACATTAATATAGACATTTCCTCCTTTTGTTCAGTTTTACTCAGATTCTAATAGATATTCTCTCAGGGGTACGGATGATTATGTACTTGAGAAGAGCTATGCTAGGGTAGACATTTACAAATCTAGTTTTTTCTAATAAGATTTCATTTTTTTTTTAAAGATTTTTTTTTCTAATAAGATTGTGCGTGGAATGCGTTACCAGGGCCGTAGGCAGACTTCAGAACAAGAAGAGTCAATTTTCGAGCGCCGAAGGAGCGAGCCACTAGGGGGGTCTGGGGGCATGTTCCCTCCTCCCCCCAAGGAAATTTTGAAATATGCTCTTGTAAGTATTTTCCGTGGTATTTTTCTTCAGAAAAAGTCAATCTTGGGCAAGTGTAGAAGTTCACTTTTTTATTACTTAGCGATACTGGTGCCAAGTTAAGAGGGTGCGAATAGGGTTAACAGTTATATAATATTTGGCCAAAAAAAGACTATGATTGGCCAAAAGATTAGTAGTTAACTGATAAATGAAAAGTTAACAGTTAAGTGATATCATATTAAGGTTAATGAAAGCAACAAAGTCTTGCAAACAGAAATGTTATTTTCTGACATTTTTCCGTCCCGTTGATGACCCAGTGACACATCAACTGATATTACTATGTGCAAAAGGCACCAGGGCAGTACCCGACAAACAGAAAGTGTTAGTTCTCTCAACGAATAATTCATCTTCTAATATTAACAAGGTTTCTGTGTTCGGAAAAGGAAAAAACTGTTTTCACAGACCCAAAAGTAAGATCGTCAAGTTAACATTACTACCCAAATAAAAAAAATCAGTTAATGACCACCTGCATTTTAAAGCATTCAAATGTTGTAACACGTATTACAACAATAAAATGAATCCACGAGAGATCCAACGTTTATGGATTTTATACTGTAGATAATTAGGAGAAGTCTTAGGTAACACTTTTTTTGAAGTTAGTTCTTCTTAGATGATATACAGAATCACGCTCACTTATCAATTATCTGTTTCGATAGACCCTTGCTTATGTTCTTCAACTTTGAGATAGCCCCGGGGGGGTACTCCCATACATTACCTATACGGGTATGTGCCGCCCAACGGGGTCGTGGTTTTGAAGCTCCTGATTTAGAACGGGGTATCCATTTCAGAGGCGTTTTCTAGAACGGAGTATAAAAAATAGTGGATCAGGGCTTTATCTTCTGCTTAAAATTGTTGCTGATTATGAAGAAGCATTTATTTCATGTATAAGTCGAACAAATAAAGAAATACCTCTTGAAAACAACAGGGCTATTTCAATTTACAAACTTTCTAGAACGGGGTGTCAGTTTTAGGGCGAATTCTAGAACGGGTATAAAAAATTGGCCCATTTCTAGAACGGGGTATCAATTTTAGGGGAATTTTTTTCTTTGAACGGGGTGCCAATTTGGAGTCCCGGGCGGCACATACCCACCCAAAAAGTACCCAAGTGCCCCCCCCGGGAGATAGCCACGTCATAATATTGCCATCTCTTATACTTGTAGGGCTAAGAAGTCACTAACTTTCACGATTAAGAGTACTAAACTTCTCCCTTAACAGTTAGAAAAGTGAAAGTTTTTTGTCCGTCGTTTATTCTTTACTGAAAGCTAAGGCAACCCGTCCGTGGCCAGAGACGGACAAGTAATATCAGACTTAATTGTCTGTGTACAATGGTTTTGACCTTGACCTGCCTCTGATTGCGCACACTGAAGGAATCATTCGCCTCGGGCTAATTGTGACTTTTATGAGTGGCGTACTGAAAATCTAATTAAATTAAATTACCCAATTTTAATCGCACAGCACAGTTTGAAATAACGCCAAGAGTTGATCTTGAGGTTTAGCGGGATGTGTCACTCGAAATCAATGTACAATAGGGCCATTTATACGAGGAAAAATAAGACGCGTCTTACATAAGACGCGTCTTAAATAAGACGCTAACTGTACCATTTATACGAGCATGTCTTATCTAATAAGACGCGTCTTAGCTAAGCCGCGTCTTATTTCAGACGAAATGTGCCGTTTATACGGAAAGTTCATGTCTTATTTAAGACGCGTCTTATGTAAGACGTGTCTTATTTTTCCTCGTATAAATGGCCCTATTGTGCTTGCATTTTTTTTTTAGCACTTTAGTGAAGCAAAAGCATTAAGCATTATTCAAGTATTTTATTGGCACTTTTCCCAGATTTTTTCAGAAAAAAAACTTGAGGTTCAAAGTGCGAAAGACTGAGGAAAAATTAATTTTCGCTGTTTAAAATGTTATAAACTTGTTGTTATACTATGTGTACCATTTGAGTACGGATAGCACTCTGTTAAAACATGGATAATAGAAGACCCAGTCTTTCTATCATCCATGGTTAAAACGTTACGATTAATAAAAAAGCCTCTGTATGACAAGTATTATCAGAGCATTTTAGTGAACTTTTTGGGGCTGACCGAGCATTTTAGTGGGAAAAATGGAGCATTAAGGTGAAGCATTTTTTTTTTTGGATTGGGACGAGGACGAGCGTATGGAGTAGACGCTTTTCTGAGTTCTCCTGAACAAGCCTTTCTTACGATAGGTTTCGCCCAAACAAATGAGTAGAAAGTCTTTCGTCTAAACACGTATCTTTTTTAAAGAGCAATGCCACCAAAACCGAGCGAAAAACGAACGCGTGTATCAAGTTCCGAGGAAGAAATTTCAGCTCACGTGCTCGTTGACGACGCCATTTTGAAAGATATACAGAAGAAGTTAGAAAAGCTGGATATGCTGGACAAAATTAACAATCAGTTATCCACAATTAAGCACGATATTACCAATATAAAGAGCAATGTAACTGAATTTGAAAAAGGCTTAAACGCAGTCAACGACGACGTTGCTGAAATGAAAGAAAGTATGAAGCGGAAGGCAGAATTAAAGCAGCTAGAAGACCTAGAAAGAGAAGTAGAAGATCTTCGCAACAGGTCCCGAAGAAACAACTTGGTGTTTTATAACTTAACATTCCGGAAAAGTACGTCGAAAGTACGTCGAAATTGAGCGTGCTCATCGTACTCCGACGCAATTAAACAAAAACAGAAAGAGTCCAAGACCGATTCACGACTAGCCCTTCTAAAATACACCGATAAGACGAAGATTCTGGCGAATGCTGCGGTTAGACTTAAAGATAATCCGTTTCACGGAAATCTAATCGGAATTGGAGCTGACTTCGCAAAAGACACCCAAGAACGCCGAAAAGCGCTTATTCCTTTCAAGAAACATCTTCAAAAGAAGCTAGAAGAGCAAGAATGCAGGGTTTTCATAGCTTACCCGGCCACGCTAAAGCACTCGGACTCGAAAGGCAAAGTTATAATTGTAAGAAACGAAGAGCTGAATAAAATGGAAAGCGAAATGGAAAAGTAAAAATGCTATTAGCAGGAGAACGTTAATCGCCGTCTGTTGCTAATTGGAGGTTTTTGGAACCCCGCACGGCCAAACTCGTGAACTCCTTCGAGGAGGTAAACTGTTTCTATGTGTTGTTTCGTGTTGTTATTGTTATCCTTTTGTAACTTGTGCGCAATGGGAGCCACTTATCACAAGCTGTGCTTACTATAAGTTTTAATTATATAATCACCATGGCTCTTTTGTGCAAAGTAGTGTAGTTTAATGTAGTGTAGCTCTTAGTGTAGTTTAGTGCAGTTAAATTATTTATTAAATGTTTTGTTTTGTAATACTTTATAATGTTTGCAATAAAGTGTTGAAGCATTAAAAAAAAAGGTGGAGTATTTTAGTGGGGAAACAAAAGCATAATGTATTGAAAAGCCTAAATCTAGTGGTGTAGATCAACTTCTGTGACGCAGAGTTGGGGTAGAAAATAGAGCAGAAAGTGCTATTATTAGTGTCAGGCAGAAGGCGGGCAGTAGGCTATATTTCAAAGATCATCAACAACAATTTTATTGCCAGGAGCTTACTCTTGAAACAGCGTAATAAGAACAAGTAAGGACTAAGTACAACCAGAACCGTTTACACGGAGGAAGTTGCGCTAATGCTTTATAGACAATTCAGCACAGGGTTCTTAGGTTTCTTGATAGTCCTGTTTGCAAAGGGGTTAGACTTTTCAGTATGGACTTTAGTAAGGCTTTTAAAAGGCTAATAATGCTTGCACTTAATAAGAACTCTTCGGTAAGAGGGGCACAATCAGGAGGAGCTGGATTATCTGTTTCAATCACTGTTATGCCTGATTTTTCGTATGGTTTATCGGTGTACGGAGCCTCCTCTTCTGATCATAACAACGTACAGCATTTTTTAGACAGGTACTGTAAAAGCAGGTATATATCGAGGAAATTGAATGTTAGGGAGCTGCTTGAAAGATCAGATTGCGTATTTTTACAAAGGTATTGAGAACAAATTCGCCCCTTGTGAGGATTTTACCAGAAACGTTTTTCACCAATTACGCGCTAAGAAAACCATGCTTTTATTATCCTATAGTAGCAACAGAGCGCTTGAAATCTTCCTATGCGAATAGACGTATCTTAAGCTATGATATTAATTCCTTGATGTAAATAGATGTATAATTGTTCTAAGAGCTCTCAACTGTTTTTTATTTGTTTAACTTGTAACTTGAGATATGTATTTTTATCTTTTGAATTTATTAAAGACAAAGAAAAAGACATCTAATAAGTTTAAGCCTCTCAGCCTGTGGACAGTTGTCTATGAGCAATTTATAAACGTGTGTTGTTCAAGGCTAGATTTATATGTATTTATTTAGTTGTTTTCATCACTTTCATGCTAGCCTGCGTGGCAGGCGTTCGAAGGGGAAGGGGAAGGGGAAGGGAATTAAAACTCCCTTTCCCAAAACTCCCTTTCCCTTCCCTTTCGAACGCCTGCCACGCAGGCTACTTTCATGCCCTCAAACAGGCCCTGTACCGCCTAGACGTCATATAAGATTAAACCAATCAAATTCCACGTCTCTTGAGGCGCATTCTTGAACTTGGTAGATTGGGTTGTCTGCCATATCAAGACGGCTTTGTTTGGTTGTGGTCTACTTCGCAGCGACTTCTTAATTCTTTGTTATTCCGTCTGTACACCCGCTAGAGTAGGGTAAAATCATACCTTAGACGACAGTAGGTTTCTAATAACGCCAATTATGAACGCCCCTGTTTTGACCGCCTCTCTTTTTTTATTACTTGTTTATATCGGAAACGAAAAAACTGACCAACACGCGTTACTTTCAACACCAATAATTCTACTAATATTCAATTAGAAGGAGTTGACATACTTTTAAATATGACGATGACACGAATATTGTAATTCCGTTGTGGAAAGATGGAGTTGATCAGTCACCGGAAGTGGTGGGAATTTTTCACGTTGGTCTGAAAAAAAAAATCGCCATATTATGTAATCCCGGAAAGTGCAAAGAACTCACCATGCGTAAAAAATGGGTTTGTAGAGGAACTGTGTAAAATACATAACATTCCGCAAGGCAGCGAGCTTAAACTATTAGCTGTGATATTCAAAAGCTTGTTAAGGCTAATTAAAGCTTGCACGTAGTAAGAACTCTTCGGCGTGTGTGAGTAATTGTCGAGAGTCTGAAATAATAAACTAGGAGTAATTGGAGCTTGGGAGAGTGCGTTCGATATGTTTATAAGGCGTACAGGTAGCAGTTGAGGAGGAAGGGTGGATGGCAAGTTATTGCGATAGATTAAGCCCGGTTTCCATATGATCGCCACGATCGCTGAGAAAGAAAAGTTCAGGGATCATATGGAAACCACTCTTCAGCGATCGCAGCGACAACGATTGCTGAGATAGAACTTTTTATATCTCAGCACAGGCAGCCCAAGCGCACTATTTGTGGGTTCGGGCTTCAGAGGTCATTTGGTCGGAATATACTAGAATTATTAGCGTATTATCTAATGCCAAATAAATGCAAAAAGTCTTAAAGATATGAAGTCTTCTTGTTTGTCTATCGGTACTAGTAGCCTTTACGATAACGAAAATCGAAGAAAGAAGGGAAGCTTCCCTTCTTTTATAGTGTTCAGTACTCGATGGAAAGAAAGTCGACTAAACGGCGTTTAAACCAGCTGTAGGACACAGAGTGGCTATGAACGAAAGGTAAGGGAGCTTTTTGAATCAATATTTCGCGTGATCATGATTTTTTTTTTTCCTTAGCGTTGTAGATTCGAATACATGTGATAAAATTCGAACAATAAGGGCCCGAATCACATGCAATAATGCAAGAAATATCGATTTTCGTTATCTTAATGGCTACTAGTACCGATAGACAAACAAGAAGACTTCATATCTTTAAGACTTTTTGCATTTATTTGGCATTAGATAATACGCTAATAATTCTAGTATATTCCGACCAAATGACCTCTGAAGCCCGAACCCACAAATAGTGCGCTTGGGCTGCCTGTGGTTTTTCCGAATAAATAACCTAGACTTAAACTGTTCGTTTGTCCGGTGCAGAAAATATCACGAGTCATGATGAAATGGCGCCGCCGAGCTTCACATCTCAGTAGATTTACTTTGTGACACAACGGCCGCCGAAACTTTTGAAAGATGAACGTTTTGGAAAATTCAGCAAACACAGATCGACAGTAGACCTTCAGCAAACTCTTGATGTACGCTTTACGGAGATTCAGCAAACTTTTAAAAGATGAACGCTTTACCAAGACAGAATAGCAGACCTCAGCAAAAGTTTGAAAGATTAACGTCGAAGACACACTAATCACCACGTGAGTTAGTGCGTCAAAGTGAGGCAAAACGTAAGCAAGCGCCTCAAAGCGAGGCAAATGTGTGTCGACACAAATGCAATCTCGAAAAACCTCGCTTATTGATTGCACAGGAAACCCAAATAATGCACTGAACACCCCAAAGAAATTGGGGGTTGCGTTCTCGTACCTCGAACGCAATAATTATAATCGCGATAATTAATAATAATAATAATTTATGTATAATTGATAAAAAATAATATATTTCTCCCTGTTCCCTAAATAATAGCAGGGAGATGCACATTATTACTGCTAAAGTACAAAGCAAAAAAATTCACAAGTTCCAACACGATTTATTAAAGAAGATTCCATCCCACAATAAAGTTCACTGCCGAAATATCAGACAATGAAATCTTTCCTTGAAACAATAGTTTTCAACAGAGAGCGACTCTCAGGGAAATCAATCTTGGACATCAAAACCCACTATAAGCCGACTGAAACCTTGCAATATACACATTTTACCTCTTGCAACCCTCCAGGGGTAAAAAGAGGTTTCATTAAAGGCGAAGCAATAAGATTGCTTCGAACAAATTCTTCAAAAACATTTAAAGAGTGCTTCGCGAACTTTAACAACGCCTCGAAGCACGCGGGTATCCTAAAAAATCCTAAACGAGAAATAGAAACGTCGTTGTCTTAGGTCAACTTCGACTAATTATAAGACAATAGGCGCTAAAACAAAAGCAAAAAAGTACAGAGAGTCGATTTCCTTTCGTTACAACATGTCACCCAGCGGTACAGGATCTTAAAGAGGCACTGATGGCAATTGGAGTCGATTAGAAAATCAGCCTCTTCTGAAAACAATTTTTAAAGACCTCCGATCATATCCTACGAAAGAGGTAACCTACATGCTTGTAAGTACGGTGTTCGAGGAGTATCACAAATAAAATTTACTATGTCTGATTCTTTTCTTGTCTTCTATGATTTTGATATCTTGTCTATGATTAAAAGGAAAAATCCTTTTCGTTTTTAGTGTGTCATTTTGATTTTAAATTTGTCGCGTTTGATTTCTCAAATGCATTTTTGATTTCCAAAATTTGACGCGTTTGATTTCTAAAATTTGACGCGTTTGATTTCTCAAATGACACTTTTGATTTCCAAAATTTGTCGCGTTTGATTTCTCAAATGACACTTTTGATTTCCAAAATTTATCGCGTTTGATTTCTCAAATGACACTTTTGATTTCCAAAATTTGTCGCGTTTGATTTCTCAAATGACGCTTTTGATTAAAAACTTGCAAGAGGTGACAGGCCGCACATCTTCACCGGCGTGAAACCTTTGAAACCTTTTACATATTGCTCCATTGAGGAGACCTCTTTCAGGGGATCTTACAGTTTAAAATTTGAACGATGATATCGCTTCTATATAGCGGTCCAAGATACGGTTCGGTACAGTTTATGTACAGCAACGGAATTGTGTAAGTGGAGCAGAACCTTTTCAATTTTCAACAGACAATTTATTCAGTTCGCGCGTATTCCTGTTGAATTTGTAGCCCGTTTATGAGATATGTCTACACAAAAATATAATAATTTTTCCATAGCTGCTGTTATGTGAGAGTAACTGCTTTTAATATCTCCGTAAAGTTTAGGTTTACGCGATCTCTTGAGACAAATTTTGGAAATCAAAAGTGTCATTTGAGAAATCAAACGCGTCAAATTCTGGAAATAAAAAAAAATGCATTTGAGAAATCAAACGCGACAAATTTAAAATCAAAATGACACAATAAAAATGAAAAGGATTTTTCCTTTTAATCATAGACAAGATATCAAAATCATAGAAGACAAGAAAAGAATCAGACATAGTAAATTTTATTTCTGATACTCCTCGAACACCGTATGTAAGAGCAAAACTGTAACTTGAAGGCAGCTGCCGGATAATGCGACGCAACCACAAGAACCACTTTGTCCGTGCAGACTTCCTTTGTTCCTTTGGTTGTTGTTATCAATTTTTTAATTCCTGGGAAATGTTGAACCGAAGAAGACAGTAAATAAATGACAACCACCGAAATAGAAGGATAAAAAACATCAGCTGAGATCATAACTGAAAACAAACAACGGCTCAATGTAACTATTTATTTCTCTTATGTTATTTTGGATAAATAATAAACGTTGAGTATGTATGTCTTATGTCGGACTTCCCACTTGCCTTTATCGGAATCTCGACATATGGTTCTCGACTATCGACTTAGTACTCTGGACAATTACTCAAACTCTTCTTCGGTAAGAGGGGGACAATCAGGAGGAACTGGATTATCTGTTTCAATGAATTGTTATGCCTAATTTTGAGTGATTTATCAGTGTACGGAGCCTCCTCTTCTGTACAGCGTACAGCATTTTTTAGATAGGTGCTATAAAAGCAGGTATATATCGAGGAAATTGAATATAAGAGAGCTGCTTGAAAGATCAGATTGCAGTATTTTTAGAAAGGCATTTAGAACAAATTCGCCCCTTGTGAGGATTTTACCAGAAACGTATTTCACCAATTACGCGCTAAGAAAACCATGCTTTTATCATCCTACAGTGGCAACAGAGCGCTTCAAATCGTCAGGGGCACCCAACGGCAATTTTCGGGAAAATATCTGTTCGGAAGACGATTTGAGATCTAGAATTTTCGGAGCATTTGTTGTAAAATTTCTTGCTTGCCCGCTTCTCCTAGGATTTTCGAACATCTACAAAATGGTATAATTACTCATTTTTAACGGGATTTTGACCCTAAAAAAGGCCACCTAGAATTTTCGGGAGCCTTTTCCTGGCTGAAATTTTCGAGGAGGTAAGTTTTTATCCCTATAATTTTCGGATCACGAGATTTTCAGCTAGGAAATCCGAACAGATGAAAAGTTTTTAGGGGATAAAAATATGCCTATATCTACCGTTTGAATACTAAAATACGTTCAACAATGCTATGTTAAGTGGTTTTGAACTATATCCTCGTTGGGTGCCCCTGAATCGTCCTATGCGAATAGACTTATCTTAAGCTATGATATTAATTCCTTGTTGTTTTAAGAGCTCTTAACTTTTTTTGTATTTGATTAGATATTAGATGTCTTTGAAAGACATCTAATAAGTCTAGCCTCTCAGAAATGTGGACAGTTGTCTATGAGCGATTTATAAACGTGTTTTGTTTTAAGGCTAGATTAATATGTATTTAATCACTGGTTTTCATCACTTTCAGGCCCTGTACCGCTTATGACGTCATATAAGATTCCATGTCTCCTGAGGTGCATACTTGAACTTTGTAGATTCGGTTGTCTGCCATATCAAGCCGACTTTGGTTCTGGTCTACTTCTCTGTGACTTCTTAATTCTTTGCCATTCCGTCTGTACACCCACTTTGGAAAGTTTTTTTAGAGTGACAAGAGTAGAGTAAAATGATACTTTAGACAACAGTAGGTTTCTAATAAGGCCAAGTATGAAGGCTTCTATTGTGGCCGCCTCTCTTTTTTTATTACTTGTTAATATCGGAAACGAAAAATCTGACCAAAACGCGTTACTTTCAGCACCAATTATTCTACTATCCTGCGTCTTAAACCTATTTTCACGTTTGTACTCTATATGAAGCGTCCCGTTGTTTTATAACATGTATCAAAATAAACCAATTTTGTGTTAAACCAATATCTGACCTTTCATTTGCCATGTTGACAGACGAACCCCAACAAATCCCCGTGGGAGGCAAATCATTCGATTGGCAATAATAGAAAGGTGGGAAATAACAAAAACGGTAACATTTGTAAAAATAACAATTATTCACCGAAGTGGAGGTGGCTAGTGGTGTATATTTAACGAGGCCACTAGCCACTGACACTGAGGTGAATAATTGTTTTAGTATATACTAAATGAGTGAGATAATTGAGTACAAAAATTATGATTTTTAACTCATTTACTGTTGCCAACGTTTACAATTTTGGCGCCCAATGACCGAACGACCGCGGTCGTCGCTTTTTCTTGCCGACAAATAAAACTTTTGAAGGCATTTGTTTAGCTCTTGCGGGAGAATTTCTTCAAAAGACGTTGTGAATTCTTTTTGTATTTAAAATCATTCTGTAAAAAGATTATTAAATTTAATTTTAAGCTTATTAATGGACAAGTGAGTAAAGTAACGCAAGACTTAGTCCAGTGCATTTGTAAACAAAAAACTTTTCACCGGCCTTCAGACCAGTCAAATTGTCAAGGATTAAAAACAGTAAATTAGTTGCAACCTGATTGCCCCTGCCTGTACTGGAAATTCGTTCAATCATTTTTTGTTCCATAGTCATGCGTGGATGAAGTGACAAATCGGTTTCGCTTTTTCTTGCAACAATCGAGCTGGATTCTTTTTTTTCTCTATCTGGTCTTTCATTCACATTTGACGCACTGTAAATTCTTACCCAATCTGCCGACAAATAGGGGGTGTTTTGCGAGAGGGGTGATGAAGAGTGAAGAAAGAAGAAAGAAAACTTGGCCTACTTCACCCTATAATATTGGTGCATTTACGGGATTGAAAGCCTTTACAAATGTTATGCCTTCATTAGAATATGAGTAACGTCTGATTCAATCCATGACTTACCAGATGTGGTTGCTATAGTAGCTGAGATTTTTAAAAACTGCTCATAAGTGTAGCAGTGTGTCTTCCCTACTAGCAGAATTAACCGAAAAGGAGAATCTGCAAGCAGGGAACAGTGTGTCACAAGCTATCAGGCACGTCTAAGATCTGGATCTTCATATTGCTCTGTGCGTGATTTAAAGGACGTTATTATATGGCTTCAATAGTACGCGTGCTCTGATTGGCTGCCTAGCGGGCAAGATTTCCCTGTAATGACCGGGTTTTATATATTAGCTAAGTGTCCAAGGCATATACAATCTTAGCCTGCGTAGCATGGCGGTTTTGTCGAGCCAGGCGCACGAGCGGCGTAGCGCCCGCCTTTATTACTTAGCAACCAAAACCGCCATGCTACGCAGGCTAATACAATCTGTGTTTTATAACTTGATAGTGGACATCCAAGTTATGGTCAGTTGACAGCTGTCAAAAAAGGTATCCACTGACCAGTGCCACATGGTTGTATCGCGGGCTCAAAAGTACAACTCTTTGTGGTGACGTGTTTTTTAAAGTTAACCGCTGACCAGTTATTGGTTTTAACTGATCGCAGGCTTAATAATTACTTCCGGTGTTTTATACTAATAACACTAAGAAGGCTGTATAATAAATAACTTATTAACTTTGTCCGTTCGGTCATTACAGGGAAATCTCAGACCTTAGCCCTGATGTACTGACCTCGCTATTGCTCCGTCAATACATCAAGGCCTCGGTGTGAGATTTCCCTGTCATGATCGAACGGACGAGGTTAATAAGTGGTATATAACGTGGTGAGTTTAAATGTCCCAACCCAAATCGCCTCGAAAGTAGCAATAAAATCCTGTATAATCTCACTGATAGAAACCTTATCAGAGACAATGGTTTAATGAAGAGCCCATAGAGCGTCAGTCTAAAAGGGATAAAATTAAGCAAAGTTTTTGTTTTTAAATAGGCGGAAATCTATGGCGTTCCATTTCCGGCAAAATTCAATGTTCTATTTCACATTGTACTTTGCACAATCTATCGTGCATTTTGTGTTTGTCATTTGAGTTTAAACTCGCGATTAAACTTTTTTGCATTCAACATTCAACTTTGATTCATGCAACATTCAAGTTTTCGCTTTCGACATTCATCTTTTCATAAGTAACAGTCAAGTTTTCTAATTCGATCTTCAAGTTCAGTGGAATGTACATTCATTTTTTCGCATCCAACATTTATTACTTGTCCTTTTCGCTTCCGACATCCGACTTTGGACATTGTACTTGCAAGTTTCCGCATTCGACATTCAACTTTCTTGAATTCAACTTTAACCCGCTGGTCAGCGACCGATGGAGATCGTGGGCTCAATTGACCTGACCCACCCCCGCTCAAATGGTGGTCGAGAGTCGGTCGAGAGACTTCCCAGTGGAGTGGACTAAGGAGACCTTTTCCACTCCCGATAACCCAGACGTCGACACACGTCGACAACAGATAGAACATGGCCGATCGCCAGGATGCCGCTGCACAGTCTTCGAGGGAGGTGAGTGCTGTCCAACCGACTGTCTCATCTGGAATTGTAAATTGTAAATTGTAAATATCTTATTATCCACTCCCAACAGGGCTTTTCAGGGATAATTTACAACACTGGTTGGGGGACTTTGCCAGACTGTTTAGGGTGCAGTTTACAAGTACTGAAGGAATGAGTGATGATGCTTCCATACATGAGTGTGAAAGTGAGATAGTCCACTACACCGGGCACTACGTGCCCTACTCTTTACGAAGAGTGTGTGGGTTCTTTAACGTCCCACAGAATTATTACATATGCAAGGGCTTGTGAGACGGGGCCTACGGTTTATCGTCCTTATCCGAGAAGACTAGAAAGTCTAACCATTTGCAGATGTTATTACAAAGGCAGCACTTTCTTCTCCGTTATTTAAAGACGCTGAGTGTTGGTCCGGCCGGGGTTTGAACCTACGGCCTCCCGCTCAGCAGACCGGCGCTCTCCCAACTGAGTTAACCGGGCGGAGGTTGGAAAGGTGTATTTCATGAAAAATCCCTGAAATACTTAACCTGAATTCCCATACAAATCCTTTATGTTCGCGGCCATTTCATCAAGGACTGAGCAATTCGAGACCGCCCATATTAATGATTAGGGGTCGACCGTTTGTCTTCTTGGGTGATTGACTTCGAGTAAAAATCTGTTTCCCAAACCTGTAACATATTTTTCTCCAGCATTACATGCCACAAGAGATTTTTTTTTTTCAGTGCTGGATAGTTTTTTCTGAAATCACTTACACACGAGAGCTTGGGTAGCCTCCCACGCAGACGTCCTATGGGGTATTCGGGAGGAATGCTTAACGAATGCCGGACGAATCCCCTTAATATCCCCTTAACGTCTGAGTAGGAGGCTAGACTAGGCTTGGGCCGCCTGAGGGGTTTTTATGCAGACCGATTTTTGATTCCAGGTGTGCAACAAATCAAAGTTCATTCCTTTTCAAAAATAAAGAAACGAGTAAAATACACAATGATAAGAGTGTTGCAAGCAAAAGCTTTCGGAAATATTTCATTCTACGATCGATGCCTTCCAGTACACAGCGCGCTTGAAGTGATCAAAATCAAGTTGGCGCTATTTATGGCTCAGTCAATTCCAAGCGTGCCCATCCTTCCCCCGCCATTATTTGTAGGGCATTTGTCATTTTGTTTTGGAAAAGCTTCAAATGCCCCACAGTGGGGCTTTAAAATAGGGTACAAATGCCCCACCCCGGGACAACGCCAAAATTTCATTTTCCAGTAAATAAACTGCAAATACCAATGCAAATTTATAGGAAATCTGTAATAATCTGAATAAACTCGCGCTTGAAGCACCCTACGCAAATCGCTCCTAGCCGCTTGTTAAAATTATATTTATTGCAAAAAAAGATCACACTGATCTGATTTTAAATATCAAAGACAAAACTATAAACTAGAATTTTAACAAGACCTCTATTATTTTCGAAGATGTTTAATATAGTGAATGAAAACAAACA